CTTATAGGGTTTATACTGAGTACAATATTGTATAACTGTAATAATTCAACTGTAAACCTAAAAATTTACAGCCAAATTTGAAAGAGATGCATCCTACCTCAGGAAAACGTTATTGAATATGTCAATTGTGTTGTAATGATATGCTTCTTCTAAGTATGTTGTTATTAAATAAATCATTTTTAAAAATTAAAAAAAAAATAAAGGAATGTGTTTGGGTGTCAAGATAGCATGGGACAGAGTTGTGGATTCTTCTATCCTCAACTGTCAACCTATTGAGATCTAGAATCACCTGGGAGACTGACCTCTGGGCACACCTAAGGTATTATCTTTTTTTAAAAAATATTTAATTTGTTATTTTTATTTTATGTATATAAGTGTATTGCTGCATGTATGTAAGTGCACCCATGTCGTGCATTGCCTCGGAGGTCAGAAGAGGGCTTCAGATTCCCCTGGGGTATTATCTAGATTAATTGAGGTAGAAGAACCCACCCACTGTGATTGGCAACTTTCACTAGGCTGGATCCTGAACTGTATAAAAAGGAGAAAGTGAGATGAACACAAGTATTTATCGATTTTTGCTTCCTGACTGAATGCAATGTGACCAGCTGCCCCAAACTCCTGCGCTGTAATTTCACCACAATGGTGAACTATAACCTTGAATTGTAAGACAAAATAAATGTTTCCTTCCTAAGTTGATTTTGTCAGGGATTTTATCATAACAAACAACAGAAAATATACGATATGACTGAAATAGGATTGGAAAAAATAAATAGAAAACTATGAAGCATCTTAAAACAGTCTTTCTAGCTGGATCATTTTCCCAAACTGCAGCCAGTGTGAAAATGTCAGCATATCAGGGGGATGTTACAGACCCTAGGTTATAAATAATGATCATGTGAGTCTCAAAGGCCAAGTCATGTGGCTCAGTGTACTCTATAGGCTAATGCCATAGACAGTGACATCATTAATGCCCTCAGAGAACAGCTCCTTCCCCAAAAGGGAATGAGTGAGACTTTAAGAAAATAGCAAGTTTAGTAGTAACATTAGTTTGAAAACTATCTTGCATTTATAGAGCATTTGAAAATCGACACGTTTCCAGAAAGAGAACCTCATTTGATTCTCTCTTTACAGACAAGGAAACTGAGGCCGAGAGTTTAACACATTTATGATACCACATGACAAAGTAGAAATTCAAACCAGATCATCGGAAGCAAGAAGTCTTTCTGTACTAACATCTAGTGATCATTACTAACTGAACTGTAAAATCAGACTCTGGATAGGAGCATAGATGCCCAGTAAAAGGATTTTTCAGATGTATGGAATATACATATACATGACTTATTGAAAGAGAAAGTACTGGGCATATGAGGTTAATAAAAATGAAGCACCTAGCTTCCAGTCAAACAGTATTACACTGCCCCCCTGTGTCCATCACTTTTTCACATCTTTCTAAACCAAAGAATCACTGATTCTCTGAATTCACTGCAGCAAAGCTACATACAAATCTGAGTATTCTTACTTGTATTCCTAGCTTAATGGTCAAAAGTCTTTTGACTATGTTTCTGAAAATGATGTGAAAACTATTGAACAGTAATATGCTATCTATAGCAAATTGAAGAGATAATGAAAAACTGGTCTCTGAAAACCCCAAATGGCCCATATGACCCACATGAGACTTTACACATATAACTTTTATCCAGTTAGTTATATGCAAGGACTCATGAGGACTCACTGCTGCTATTACAGGCCATGTTGAAGTAATTAATTAAGGGATTAATCCACACAGCATCTTAGGCTGAGTGAAATTGTTATCTTGAGTAATTCAAACTTAATCCCACTAAAATTATAATCTGAAATTGGAGGACTGTGAACAAAAAGAAAATGAGCAAAATAAGGCTCCCATTTTTGCATATGTTTAATTTGTAAGCTATAATCAGTATGCATGCCCTCAGCTTGAATATTCCCCCATTATTTTCAAACAACTATTTTTTTAATTTTTATTTATTTCGATTTTATATGTATGAATGTTTTGCCTGCATGTATGTGTGTGTCATGCAAAGGCCAAGGAGGACAGAAAAGGGCGTCAGACACCCTAGAATTGGAGTTACCCACCATGTGAGTGCTGGAAATCAAACCCGGGTCCTCTGGAAGAACAACAGTGCTCTTGAGCCATCTCTCCAGAATCCCCCCCCCCAAAAAAAAACTATTCTTGTAATCTCAGAGATTTCTGCTTACATGAAAGATCTATAATTCCTAGATCTCAGCAGGAAGCGGCAGCAAGGTCATGGGTTCACAGCCAGCCTAGGCTCTTTAGCAAGACCATGACTCAAAAAAAAAAAAAAAGCTGCAATCCAAGATATACAATAATTTAAAAAGCAAGTTGTAAGATGTGTATATTCAATATATATGCATGCGTGAACACATAGTATATTATTTATAGTGTAAATAGTGTATGGGGGTTATGTGTTATTTTAGGGTTGATTAACTATATCAAATGCATTGTGTGTGTGTATAATGTATTTTACAGGGTCTAAAAAGATAAATAAAAAATTGTTAATAAAGTAAAATCATCTGTCAGGAATTATTGATGAATGGGTTTTTCGACTTTTTATTCTGTATATCATGTGTTGTCTGGAATTTTTACAATATTTAGATATTAGATTTTTAAATTGATGCAAAATTAACTAAGACCAAAATATACATGCTTCTAATTTATCAGCATACTAAAATGTAACTTTCCAGTTCATGGGGCTATATGTTTAAATATAAAATTGGGTCAAATAAGAAAAAGCATAAAACACAAAACTCAATGCTCTAATTTTCAGTCTTGGGTGGGTTGCTTAAAAAAAACTTGCATGAGAATTTCTGAGTAGCAGGTAGGAGGTATCTGCTCTCTACCGCCTACCAAAACAAGTAATTCTTGAATGTCTAGACTCACACTGTAACATTAGAGTATCCATCCCTAAATTCACACCATAATACTTGAGTGCTTATCCAGAGATTAACACTGTATTTGTGTCTTGTCTACCCCTACATTAGATTTGAATTTCATATAATTTTCAAATTTCTCCAAATCACTATATTGAATTTCATGTAATTTTTCCACTATCACTATTCCTCTTTTGAAAATTTCTGCCCAGCCATTTAAAAATGTAAAACCCAAAATCAGTTTCAGTTATGACCTATTCTACACATAGATATATACTCAAGAGAGTTAAAGGCAGATGCCCCACAAGATTTGTACATGAATTTTCATAACAGTATTATCTATAACATTCAAATACAGGAAATAACTGCAATGTCCATCAACTGATATATGGATAAGCAAGCATGACATAGTCATATAAAATGTTATTCAGGTAGAAAAAAAGGAATTAAGATGTGACGTATGGGGGCTAGAGAGATGGCTCAGTGGTTAAGAGCGCTGGCTGGCTGCTCTTGCAGAGGACCTGGGTTTGATTCCCAGCACCCACATGGTGGCTAACAACCATCCATAACTTCAGTTCCAGGGGATCTGACACCCTCTTCTGGCCTCTGTGGGCACTGTATGCATGTGGTGCACTTTCATACATGCAGGCAATGTACTCATACACATAAGAGTTAATAGGGCTGGGCGTGGTGGCGCATGCCTTTATTCCCAGCACCGGGGAGGCAGAGTTCAAGGCCAGCCTGGTCTACATAGTGAGTTCCAGGACAGCTGGGGCTACAGGGAGACCTTGTCTCAAAAAGAAAAAAAAAAAAAAAAGTTAATAGATAAAATATTTTTTTTTAAAAGATGTGATGTGTGCTACAGCATAGAGAAATTTGAAAGCATTACACAAGGCAAAAGCCAGGCACAGACAGTCACAAAGCATAGGTTTCTATTTCTAAGAAACATCCAAGATAGGCAATCAGCAGAGACAGACTGGAGGCAGGGGTTGTGGGGAGGAAGGGATGGGAGTGACTCTAGTGAGCGTAGGGTTTTTTCTGAGGCAATGGGAATGTTCTGGAATTGAACAGTGGACAACACAATAGATTGTCTGGAAAAAGAAAGGTATGTTACCAAAACTTAGAAACATACAAAATCATGTTAGTTAAATGCATATCGTTTAGTACTAAGGATATGATTCTGTGGTAGAACAATTGCCTAGCAGTGTCTGAGGCCCTGGGTTCCATCCCAAGTACTGAAAACAGTAGGGAAAGAAAAGGAAAGGGAAAAACGGTGAGAAGAGAGGGCGGAGGGGAGGGAGGAGGGAGAAGGCAAAGGAAGGGAAGGGAGGAAGGACAACTTTAAAATACTAGTCCCCATTTTGTCAAGCCAAAATTCCTTTAAAATTAAATTCTTAGGGTATGTAGATATGGCTCAGTGGTTAAGAGCAGGGGAATCCGAAGCCCTCTTCTGACCTCCGCGGCATTGCACGGCACAGGTGCACTCACACACATGCAGGCAACACACTCATACGCATAAAATAATAATAATAAAGAAATAAAATATTTTTTAAAAAATTAAATTCTTAGTTTAGAAATGTGTTTACTGGATGTCCTGGTTTGTTCTTCATTGCTATGACAAAATACTCTGACAAATACCAATTTTGGGAGGAAAGGGTTTATTTGTCTTACATCTCTCAGGTCGCTTTCATCAGGGAGTTCAAGGTAGGAACTCAGGGTAGGAACCCAGAGGCAGGAGCTGGAGCACAGGCCATGGAGGAACGCTGCTTACTGGCTTGCTCCCTTGGCCCCTGCTCAGCCTGCTTTCTTATGCAACACAGGCCCACCTGCCCAGGGGTGGCACCACCCACAGTGGGCTGGGTCCTCCCACATCACTCATCAAGAAGATGCCCTTCAGACATGGCCACATGCCAGTCCAATAGAGGCAATTTCCTGACTGAGGCTCCCTCAACCCAGGTGTGTCAAGTTGACACTAAAGCTATCCAGCACACTGGATTATTACCTGGAGACACTAGTTGTATTAATTCAAACCTGGTAAGGAAACCTAAAAAAGAAAAAAATGTCAGATTTTAATTTTTCAGAAAATTGCTGATTGCTTAATAAATGCTAAATTAAAATGACCATGATAGCTCATTCATGCTAACAACAGTATAGCTGGCCTTCCACATTCATCGGTTCCACATGTACTGATTCCACAAGCACATGTTCAAGCAGCTACAAACAGAAAATATCTTTCAAAATTATTGCATCTGTACTAACATGTGCAACCTTTTTTTCATTATTTTCTAAACAATTCAGAACAGCAACTATTCATACAGCATTTACAGTATACTAGCTATATAAGTAATAGATAATTCAAAGAACATGGGAGAATATGCATAGGTTATACGTAAATATTACTTCATTTTATATAAGAACTTGAACATCTGTGGATTTGGGTATGTATGGTAATCCATGAACTATGTTCCCAAAGGATACCAATGAGCAACTACAAAATAAGTGTCATGCCAACAATCAATAAAGTGTTGAGAGAGTGAAGTCAAAATGAGTGAGTTCTGAAAATAGTATTTTACCTCCTGAAAAGCATTAACATTTTGTATTTTTAAAGTATATTCATGGCTGGACAGATAACTCAGTGGTTAAAGATGGGTACCGCTCTTGATAAGACATGAGTTTGGCTCCCAGCACCCAAATCCCAGCACCCAACTGCCTGTAACTCTGGTTCCATGGGATCCAATAACCCTCTTCTGGCCTCCATGGGCACCCATGCACACACAAATCATACAGACATACAAACACAAACACAAAATTATATTCATAGAGCATTATAATCAATGTACTTTTCATCTTAAAACTTGAAGATCCAAGTCAGGTGTGGTGGTGCACTCCTTTAGTCCCAGCACTCCAGAGGCAGAGGCAGGCAGATCTCTGTGAGTGAGCTTGAGACCAGCCTGGTCTACATAGTGAGTTCCAGGCCAGCTGGGACTTCAGAGAGACCATCTCAAAAAGACACCCCCCCCCCAAAAAAAAAAAACTTGGAAGATCCAGTTGTGATCCGTCAATGTAAAAGTTTAGCTCACCCACGAGGTATGCTATATGACCACACAAATTTGACATATGTTTCTTGGGTTCAAAATGCATTTTCAAAGGCCATCT